TCTACTATTGCCTATAAATACACGCCTTATCTAGTTCTCTTAGCTATACTTTATATTCATGTTTAGAAGATGTAACGACTTGGTGTTCAATGATCGAGAATTGGGACAAAAGTGAGTGTGTGTGCGATTAGGAGTTCGGAGTCCGTAGATGTTAATATAGATCCGGAGTGTGCGTAGATGAATGGGTCGGGAAGTACAATCGGGCGAGTTAGGATTAGCGTGTACTAGGGAGTTAGGGGTGCAACAATTTTGTTTCCAGATCAAATTGAGGGTCAATTCGATGGTAAAAAAATTAATCAATAATTTTTTAGTGCTTGATTTAATATATATGTAATTTTGAAAAAAATATTTTTTAATTAATTTTCAAAATTTACAAAAAATGTAAAATTATACAAATGCCATTGAGTGAAAAACACCTCACATGGAAACTTGCTCGCAGCCATGGAGGCTTCCCTACTGCATGAGCAACACCCAGCTGCTTGGGGGGTGTTGACTCAATTGCTTAAGAAGAGAGAGAAGCATGAGAGAGAAAATACATTCTAAAATTTCAGGTTTTCTACAGAAGGAGTTTTTGTGAGACTTGAACAAGCTAATTAGACATTTTATTTCGTGTCGAGGGTTTAAATACAAATATTTTTTTTAATCATGTGATTTAAATTAAGTAATTGAAAATACAAGAAAATAAAGTATGAGTTCCGGTGATAAACTTTTAGTCACAGGTTAAGAACTTGGAAACAAATAGGAATGTGTATGTTAATTTTAGCTTGGTAATTAAAAAGGGACTACCGTGGATGCGGGAGCTAATATATAGATCTTGATAAAAAAATTTAGCTTTAATTTGAGAAATTAAAGGTGAGCGATATTTACAAACAAAGAATATTCATATATATATATATATAAGTATATATATGGTATATACATATAAATGTCAATTAAAGTAACTAATTACCTGGTTAAGGGGTATTTTTTTGTTAAATAAGTAGTTTATATATATATAGTCAGGATTCTTTCAGCCCTAAAGGAAGAAAGAGAAGTCAATCTCAGGGAACTTCTAGTTTTTGCCTCGAAGGGAGAAGAGGGAAGAAGGTACATAAAATATTTTTCTCAAAGAGGGAACTAAATGTTGGATCGCGAGAGGAAAGGGGTGAGATTGGGGCTTAGAGTATGTATCCCAGGAATGCCAGATCCGGATAAAGAAGGCTTGATGAATAGCTACCTATCTTGAGCTTGAAGAAGAAGGAATGACTAGGGTAGAAAAAGGGAGAGCTAGCACTTTCACTTTTAAGCCGACGTTTGGAACTGATGAAGTCAAGTATTTCACCTTTTGAATCTCAATGAATTTTTTCTCTTGAAAGAGGGAAAGAAAGAAAACCCAAGAGCGAGGAAAGAAAGCCCTTTGTCCCTCAACAGATCGGATAAGACTGGGAAAAGTGGAAGAATAATTAATTCATTCTCGTATTTCCTCGCTTATCTATCCTGCATTCTTCAAAACCTAGTAAGATAAAAGGCAAAATAAAGAAAGGGAGCAAGATCAAAGGTCTCAGCTTAGATCAAGTGAAGAAAGATTGTCCGGTTAAAGATTCACTTAAGGGTGTATGTCAAAGTCCCAAACCCTAATCAATTCTCTCACTTTTTTAGCTCACTTGTGGTCATGAAGAATGAGTAGTTTTTCATCCACTCTTTAGTGAAGGGTGATAGATTTGTAATATAGTGTTTGAGTAATATATTTGTGTAATTTCTATTATGCTTAATTGTTTCATATAATTTTTGAATGATTGAATGTATCTAGCAAAGTTAACGCACTTTGTATAATTGTTTGATAACCTATAGACAAGTTAAGTCTTAGTATAAGTGATGCTTATAATTCCCAACAAGTAACCAAGCTAGGTCTTCATGACAATCTTTCAATCTTCATTTCTGTTATGCTTAACCATAAGATTTATTAACCTATTAAGTTGGATATTTTGTTAAAGTTGTTTGATTAGTTATAGACAGGTTAGGTCTTGACAAATTTAATGTTCATAACTTTGTGCATAATGTCGGAGTTAAGCTCATTAACATGAAGTCAATCATTATCTTCCGGTTAACTTACTGTTGACACAAGGGTTAACTAAGCTATTAATGTTGCACAAATATTGCACTCGAACACTCACGTAGGTTTTCAGATCCTCGAACTAAAGAATGAATTTTTCTATATTGTTAAGAACTTTACATATTTCCTTGCACATAACTCTTCACAATCACTTATTTCAAAAGTTTTGCTTCACCTCAATCTCTATTAATCTTTTGTTTAAAAATACCAACACTAGTTCCCTTTAGATATAACCTCGGACTTAGCAGATTTATTACTACAACTTGACCTCTTGTACTTGGGAGTGCATTTCTTTAGTCAAGTTACCAACCACTACTATATGAGATCCATGAAGGGATATGCAAAAGCTACACAGACGGTCGATCTTTCACACATCGGGCTATTTTCCAAGGGTACTGGTGACTGTACATGCAAAAGGACGCTAAATAATATGTGCAGAAATATAATAAATGTCAGAAGTTTACACCTATCATTCGACAGCCAGCTGGGGACCTAAAATCATTTTCAAGCCCTTTGCCTTTTTCTCAATGGGGAATGGATATAGTAGGTTTGTTACCGAGATCATCGTTGAACAAAAAATTCCTCTTGGTAGCCATGGACTACTTCACGAAGTGTATTTCAGCCTAGCCTTTTAGCTGCATATGAGATGTTGAAACCATGAAATTTTTATGGAAAAACATTATCACCCAATTTGGCATTCCTTGGGTTGCTTTATCAAACAATGACACACAGTTCAATAGTGGTCCTTCTAAAGAGTTTTGTGCGGGGTTTGGCATTTGAAACTATTACTCAACCTTGACATATTCACAAATCAACAGGTAGGCTGAGGTCTCCAACAAGACTGTCTTAGCAAGAGTCAAGAAGATATTGGAAAAGGCGAATGACAGATTGACCAAAGAATTACTCAGTGTAATATGGGCATACCAAACTACTTCATGAACATCAACGGGGGAAACACCTTATGCACTGACATATGGCATGGAATAGGTGATTCCCCTAGAGACCAGACTTCGAACAATATGGAGTCAAGCTTTTGAATCCAGGGAGAATGACAAAATTCTGACCTAAGACCTCGACCTAGCCAAAGAAAGGAGGGAGCTTGTGGCCATCTAGTTAGCAAGATACCAAGGAGAGCTATCTAGCCAACACCAAAAAAATATCCGAGCTAGAAACTTCCAAGCTTTTGCCAATGAAGCGCCTCACTAAGAAAATTTATATAAGTCTTGTGCTTGGTCATTAGGGACATGGTTCTGAGCAGGGTAAGCTTTCACTANATCTAGAAACTTCCAAGTGGGGGACCTAGTACTTTGCAAGGTAGTAGGGAGCACTCGGGAACTGACTGATAGGAAGCTCAGGCCCAACTAGGAAGGGCCCTATAATAGCATTATGGTGGGGGGCATGGGGGCTTATAGGCTTCAAGGTATGAAAGGGAAAGATGTCCCCCCGTCATGGAATGCATCAAATTTGAGAAAATATTATCATTAACAAATGTCTATTATGGTGTTGCAAAGGGTGTTATTAACATGGGACTCGGTCCCAGTTGTTAGGGACATAGTCCCAGGCGGAGTAAGCCTTCACCAATGAAGCGTTGCGCTAAAAAAGACTTACACAAGCCTTGCGCTTGGTCATTACAGATATGGTCTTGAGTGGGGTAAGCCTTCACCAATGAAATGCCATGCTCCAAAAGATTTACATATCATTGGGTTGTTAGGGACACAGTCCTTAGCAGGGTGTGCTCAAAAAGATTTACAAATGCCTTTTGCTTGTGCGTTAGGGACACAGTCCTAAAAGGGGTAAGCTTTTGCCAATGAAGCGCCTCACTAAGAAAATTTATTTAAGTCTTGTGCTTGGTCATTAGGGACATGGTTCTGAGCAGGGTAAGCTTTCACTANATTTTTCTCAAAGAGGGAACTAAATGTTGGATCGCGAGAGGAAAGGGGTGAGATTGGGGCTTAGAGTATGTATCCCAGGAATGCCAGATCCGGATAAAGAAGGCTTGATGAATAGCTACCTATCTTGAGCTTGAAGAAGAAGGAATGACTAGGGTAGAAAAAGGGAGAGCTAGCACTTTCACTTTTAANTAGTTAAGCATTGCGCTAAAAAAAATTTACACAAGCCTTGCACTTGGTCGTTAGGAACACGGTCCCGAGCAGGGTTAACCTTCACCAGTTAAGTGTTGCGCTCAAAAATATTTACACAATCATTGAGCTCAATCCTTGGGGACGCGACCCGAAGTAGTGAAAATTGCATTGGTATTGATAATACTTAAAAATCAAGGGCTTTACATCCCTCGTAGCATAAAAAAACAAAGAAAAAGAGAGAGAAGGAAAATAGAATAAAAAGGCACTGAGGTCTATGGATTTCAAAGGGAACAGTAAATTGGAAACATGCCTAGAGGTGTCATAGAAGTTTCATTTCTCAGCGCCATCTTCTAGGTCATCTTTATCCTGAGCACCGTCATGCCACCTCATAACTAGGTCACTTTCGACACTCATATCTCTGCTAAGATTGACAAACAAATCATTGACCTCCCTAAACTCGCCAAGGTTCCACTGACCAGCCAAGGTATTTAGGAGTGCAAGATCTCATAGATGATTAGGTATCGTAAGGGAAGGGAGCCAAAAAGGAGACATCATGCTCTCACCTGAATCCCCATTATTAACCAGGATTGACTCATTAACTGGTGTCAAGCCCCGCACCACATTCACAACCACCTCTTCTTGCAGCTCCTCCATGGGAAGGTCTTACTGAACACCCGTAGAGGGAGGATCCAATTCTTCATTAGATATAGACTGAGGAATGAATGGGCACTGGTAGAATAGTTCTGATATGGTATCCACTCCCGCAGCCTGAAGAACCTTATCCAACCCCTTCTTGAAAGATTTTTTTTGACCATCCATGAAGGCCTTCACGATTTGAAGATGGCACAATTGAACACTTGGAGGCAAATCGAATTCTCTTTGTTCTCAATGTTCGCCTGTTCCTCAACCAAGCCTTCAACTTTGGTTGTTAGGGCTGCACAATTGGCCTCAACTTCCAATAATTTGGCCTCAATAGTAGAAACCTTCAACTTGGACTCATTCACCCTCCTCTCTGCCTCAGCCTCGTAGCCTTGCTCTTTTTCAAATTGGAGGAGAAACCATCCATGCGCTTCATTAAGTCACTGATTTATTTCATCTAGTAGACGATGGTCTTCTCAAAACGGTGGATGTGAATGTCTTTCTTGTCAAGCTCGAATTCGAATAAAAATGGAAGGATTTGTGAGGACACCACCAAGTTATTTTGAATCACCCCCTAGAGGAGACAGTTGTCTGAGCGATCTTGGTGCATAGCCATATTGGCCTCAAAGTGTAAGGCTCCACTAACTATCAGCACGACGTTGGCTTATTGGATGATGGAATTAGTAATCGGTACGACCTTATGCTTGTGCGTGACCAATTGCGCGTGACCAATTGGAGGACACTCGTCATGTGTAGCTTCTCCAACCACGTGCTTGGGAAAAATATAAAAGGGGAGAAAAATTGTTTTAGGTGGTGGAAGAGAGGAAAAAAAGAAGCAAAACAAGGGAAAGAAAAAGGAAGAACAACAAAGGGTTTCGCGAAAAGGGAGTTCGTCGGAGTGCATATGTTCTTGAGTGAGGAGTTTCTTCTTTTGTATGATTTTCTTGATCTTTGCTTGTGCAAAGGAGTGAAGTGAAGTTGTGTTGAAGAATTGAAGAGAACTTAAAGCTCTTGGGTGAGGATTCAGAGGAAATTCGAAGGAACTGGGTCACAATGGAGGTAAGAGATTCTCATGAATTTCTATGTTTTTCTGCTTCTAAATGCATCCTTGAGGCTTGAGTAGAGGTTTTGTGGTGTTAGAATTGAGGTTGGGTGAAAAAAGATAAAGTTTGAACCAAGTTCTGAAATTTGGAACATGGTTCAACTTGTTGAAGAGAGGTTCAACTGGTAGAACAAAGTACTGGATGCATATCAACTGGTTGAAGCATGTGTTGAATAGGTTGATTAGAGTACTGAAAGGGTTACAATGGGTTAAGGATCACGACCAACCAGTTCGTCAAAGTTAATTTTGGTAAATTTGCTGTGATGTTCTAGGCTCTTATGTAATTNCTGCCTCAGCCTCGTAGCCTTGCTCTTTTTCAAATTGGAGGAGAGACCATCCATGCGCTTCATTAAGTCACTGATTTATTTCATCTAGTAAACGATGGTCTTCTCAAAACGGTGGATGTGAATGTTTTTCTTGTCAAGCTCGAATTCGAATAAAAATGGAAGGATTTGTGAGGACACCACCAAGTTATTTTGAATCACCCCTTAGAGGAGACAGTTGTCTGAGCGATCTTGGTGGATAGCCATATTGGCCTCAAAGTGTAAGGCTCCACTAACTATCAGCACGACGTTGGCTTATTGGATGATGGAATTAGTAATCGGTACGACCTTATGCTTGTGCGTGACCAATTGCGCGTGACCAATTGGAGGACACTCGTCATGTGTAGCTTCTCCAACCACGTGCTTGGGAAAAATATAAAAGGGGAGAAAAATTGTTTTAGGTGGTGGAAGAGAGGAAAAAAAGAAGCAAAACAAGGGAAAGAAAAAGGAAGAACAACAAAGGGTTTCGCGAAAAGGGAGTTCGTCGGAGTGCATATGTTCTTGAGTGAGGAGTTTCTTCTTTTGTATGATTTTCTTGATCTTTGCTTGTGCAAAGGAGTGAAGTGAAGTTGTGTTGAAGAATTGAAGAGAACTTAAAGCTCTTGGGTGAGGATTCAGAGGAAATTCGAAGGAACTGGGTCACAATGGAGGTAAGAGATTCTCATGAATTTCTATGTTTTTCTGCTTCTAAATGCATCCTTGAGGCTTGAGTAGAGGTTTTGTGGTGTTAGAATTGAGGTTGGGTGAAAAAAGATAAAGTTTGAACCAAGTTCTGAAATTTGGAACATGGTTCAACTTGTTGAAGAGAGGTTCAACTGGTAGAACAAAGTACTGGATGCATATCAACTGGTTGAAGCATGTGTTGAATAGGTTGATTAGAGTACTGAAAGGGTTACAATGGGTTAAGGATCACGACCAACTAGTTCATCAAAGTTAATTTTGGTAAATTTGCTGTGATGTTCTAGGCTCTTATGTAATTGTTTTGAGACCTTGTTAAGCCAATCAATGGACCTTAAACGGGTTCTTTATGATTTTATGGGTTGCATATACACCATTGGGGAGGAAGAGGAAATGTGTTAACATGTGTGTGGGTAAACATGCATACATGCATGATGGAGTTAAATGAAAGTGCTAGAGACTTATGTGTGAATAATATGGTATAGGAACCGAGACATCAACCTCTAATTCAAAAGCACCAACTAGGAAATAATTGTTGTGTTTCAGGACTTAAGGTGAGTGGGCTTTCTCATTGTGGTTGATAATGGTCAAGGTATACTTATGTGATGTTATTAAATGTGTATGAAGATTTAGCCTTAAAGACAAGTGTAAGTAGCTAATAGTGGCATGGTTATGCCTTTGTGGTGGCGCCTTTATGGAGGGTATATGTTATGCCTTAGTGGCGGCACCTTTGTGGCGGATATATGTGACTGACAAATAATATATATAAGTGTTGGACTGATTTTATTATGATTGTTGCAAATGTTTACCTTTTAACATTTGTTGATAGTTCATTGCTAACAATGCATGTTTTAGATGATGATGTCTGAAGTATATTTTGTTATTATCAATTTAATGAAATTGTTCATTCACTGTGCGTATTGTGCTCACCCCCCCTAGTTTGTGGTTTTAGGGAAAAGGATGGAGCTTGGAGTCCATTGCAGTGTCTTAGAGGGTCAAGGAGTTTNTAATTATCAATTTAATGAAATTGTTCATTCACTGTGCGTATTGTGCCCACCCCCCCTAGTTTGTGGTTTCAGGGAAAAGGATGGAGCTTGGAGTCCATTGCAGTGTCTTAGAGGGTCAAGGAGTTTAAATGGAGCTTTGATGTCATATTTTGTAATGTTTAAGGCATATAACTATGTACAGTTGCTGAGCTTCGAGCTTCAGCATTTGGTTAAGGATTATGTGAAGCTCCATGTAAATGTGGACTTGAACTCTTTGTATATGGATTACATATGTATGTGATTATGTTTGGGCTACTTATTAAGTTATGGAATGTTTTATACCATGTGTAGAATGACAAGTTATTGATTGTTAAGTGGGGTTCACCCTCCTGGATTAGTTCATATGTTCTATATCTAGGATAGGGTGTGACATTTTAGTATTAGAGCTTAGGTTTATAAGGTTCACTACAAAAAAGACACTATTTGAGATGGCATAGTGCTGCTGCAAAAATTATTATTTGCCACCTTAAATACTTTTTGTAGCGGCATTGAACAGCCGTATAAAATGGGGCCACAAAAAGTATTTATGGTGGCAAATAGTTGCCTCAAAAATTAATTGAGGTAGCCAAAAACTTCATCTCAAAAGGTACATTTTTTTGTGTAGTATTTACAACGGTTTATTAGCTGTCGCAAATAACATTTTTTGGCACGCGCGAGAATATACATTTGTGATAGGCCTGGTGTCGTCGCAAATAATATCTTTTTTTGGTGCGCGCAGGAACGTGTGTTAGCGATAGGTCTTGTGTCATTGCAAATAATATCTTGAGAGAATTAAAAGAATATGAATTTATGTATGTAAAGAATTAAAAGAAGTCGAACATACATCAAAGGATGGCCAAGTAACATTTCATTGAACAGCATCCCCGATTGTTTTGATGCCTTTATGTGGTCTCATCAAACACGTCATAGTGTCAATTGCTTTTTTAACAAATACTTTCCAAAAATTTGATCCCAATGATAGTCCATCCACTTGTGCCGATGGGTCCATTCTAACGACAATACCCTCTGCCAACTTGCATTTTGGACCTTTGGAACTTAACAAATGCACTTTTGTTCCAACCTACAACAATATGCATAATTCTTCAACAAAGAATTATTACAATCATCACTATTTACATCATTTAATGTATACTTCACATTAATTTACACACGTTTTATTGTAAACAAAATAAACATATACCTGTAGACTAAGTGCGTCATGTGCCCTTTGTCCCTTATTATTTTTATCCGTGCAAATCTATATAAAATATTCATAACATCAAATTATTGTTTCACTTTTGGTAACTCGTGTGGGAATGAAAATATATCATGAATTTAATTGATACATATGGTGAAACACCAAGGCTCCAATAAATCATGTTTTATACAAATGGTCATAGTGTGCAATCCAAAAATAATTAGTAGCAAGTACTCAATACAATAATGGAATGAACCACATTCTTAGGCAATGATTTTTGTATAGGCAGAGGAATACGTTGTTGCATCAAAATATGATTGTCATGACTCTTAAGTCCTCCGATGCTTTGATCATCCAAATTTACATGTTGTGAGATATTAGATGCATACCTTTCTGGCACTCTTAACACTCTTTAAAACTTTGCAATATTTTTCATCCTTACT